GTTTTGGAGGAATACAAGTGAAATGATTAAACCTTATTTTAGGGTAGGGACAGATACATGTGAAACATGTGAAACTTGAGGCTCAAAACAGTACTCCTCGTTATTTCAGCCTTCCCTCAAACACAACCATTACTACTACTACAGGCACGAACACATGGGTGGGGCAGCAGCCTGAGATGGAGCAGAGTAAACCATAAATACCCAAAAGGCAGGGCTCATGCAAGGTATCCTCACTGCTTTCGGGAACACTTTAGGTCACTGGCCTGGCAAGTGCACATAGCACCCGCGGCAAGCACACATGGCCCAGGCAGCAGTAATGTGATCTGTGCAGTTTTGCAAAGAACTGTATAAATAGCCCTCTTATTATAGAGGAGCTTCGGTGACCAGGACCCTGGGTGGAGGCCTCCCTGGGAGGCTTTCCTCAGAGCTATGGGCTGTGGAGATCGTGTGGCCTAGAAGCAGCTGCACAAGTGTCTCCATGTCCTCCAGGGGCCTCCAAAGGGCTCGCCTTTCTTTTTAACCAGCCCACAATGTTATGTGGTTCTTGGGCCTCCAAAATTAAACCACTGTTAAGCCACCACAATATCCTCTGCCAGCCTGGGGTTTTGCAGACTGCAGGGCTGGGAGAATTGGCTGCTCCCAGGAAACACTTGGGCCCAGCTAATTCTCAAGTTAAGTGTGCCAGCTATTTTTTCCTTTTCTTTCATGTCTTGCACACCTCCCCACCACTCACTCCTGATACTTCTGTCTCCATCATGTAGGAGAATTCATTTAGGAAAAGGAGAGCCTCCTGAATTTCTATCAGTAAAAAGTTTGCTGCTTTGGACACCAAAAACTTATCTCACCATCAACAGAACAGAGAATGACATCAGGGAGAGGAGGAATTCACAGTGTAAGAGGTTCAAGCTGTCTGTCCTCAAGAACATTTACAAACCAACCAACACATCAAGCTCAGTGGGTGCCCAAAATTAGCAAAAGAGAAGGAAATATCATCTAGTAAACCCTTCCCATAGCCAAGGTCCTGTGCATTATTTTTATTTACTAATTCCAGTAATATTGATAATGTATGATTACACCGATGTCATAGAAGAGCAAAATGCTAAGAAGCTAAGTCGCTTACAGACACAAACCCAGAGCCAGAGCTCAAAGAGACAGAACTAGGACTCAAATCCATTTTTGCTTGCTGCCAAAATGAGCATTTCTCCACTTCATTACACTGTATCCATCAAACATCACAAGCTAATATTAAGACAAGACCAGCTATAATTCTGTATTGAGCCATTCCAGAACCAGAGGAAAAAGGGAAAAATCAGTAATAATGATCCTATCTTGATTCAAAAAGATTTTATATTCTCATTACAAGTTTTTTGCATTCATTTTGAATTTTTAAAATATTGCATCTAATAAATATTATTTTAATCACCGAATTTTTGTTGCCCTTATAATTTCTGTGCCTGAGTTGAATGCCTCACTTGTCTGTACCCTCATCTGTGTGTCCCTCTTGATCTTATACCCCTAGCAGCCAGGACAGCACCTGCTACAGAGCAAATAATCACATAAGTTTAAAAAAGCTTGAATGATGCCAAAGGAAATACCCTATTTTAATTCTGTGCAATTCTAAAAGAAACCACTAAGCTCTGCAACCTGCATAAAACATGAATATATTTTAACCACAAGCCTCAAAGACTCAGATCAAAAGAAACCAATGGTTCTCTCACAATGGACTCATCACCTTGGGCCACTATGATGGGAAAAAGTAAGTTCCCCCAAAACTCATGTGACGAAGCTATATGCTGCAGTATCTCAAATGGACCTTATAAAGAGGTGATTAAGTCCTAAGGTTAGACCCCGAGCCAACATGACTGGTATCTCTATAGGGGAAAATAAGGATACATGAATTGACACCAGGGATTCATACACACAGAGGAAAACCACAGGAGGATGAAGCAAGAGGCAACCACCTACAAGCAAAGAGGAGGGACCTCAAAAGAAACCAATCCTATGATAGGACACCATGATCTTGGACTTCCCATATCCAGAACTGCACAAAATAAATTTCTGCTGTTGAAGCCCTGAAGTGTGTCATAATTACTTTTGCTGGCAAACTGACACAGCAACTACCTTCAGATATGCTCCCAGTTTACTCATCTTGTGGGAAAATGATGAACATGTACAAAGAGCTTCCAAAGCCCCTTACAGGCCATGTTCCATTCTATCCGAAAATCTAAACTTTTTTTAAAAAAACAAACATGGACATCAAAAATGCCCATATGAAAATTTGGAGGTGGGGATAGCAAATACAGGTATTTCTGCAAACTATACCAGCTAATAAAATTAAATTTTATCCAAACCAGTCTTTCATGGACTGGGGGTAGAGAGAAGAAAGCCATACAAGGAAACAAGCCTAGGCTGGGAACTAGCTCATGCACGGGCCACCACCAGACTAGCACAGCCAGATCCCAGCCTCTCCCCGTGAGTCAGTGCCATTTGCGGACTGAGGGTACAGAGAAGGCCACACCAGGAAGCAAGCCCCATATCGGAACCAGCAGCACACATAGGTCACTGCTGGACTAGAACAGCCAGATCCCAGCCCCTTCCGCATGCAGGCTAACAGCAAGTACCAACCCCCTCAACCACCACCACCATGACCCCTGCTGGTGCCATGAGGAACTGGCTTATCCAGAGAAATGCAGGCTGTGATGATGGCTATGGAGGTGAAGCAATTGGATGCCTGTGGTGCTTTGGTGTTTCACTAACATTGCAGGTCTCAAGCCAATGGTCTGATCATAGGTTCAGAGGATAGTGGTACACAGTGTGACATCTAGGATCTTCTGAGGGTTGCAGCCATTGTTGATTCCCTATTGTCTTGTTTTGAAGTTCTATATCATTTCCATTGTTTTGTTTGGTTGGATTTTATTTTTTGTTTTGATTATGTCAAATCTGATGGCAAGAACAGCTATTTCAAAGATAACAAGAAATATTATGCTAACAGTTTTGGATTTGCTATTGGCTTGTTTTGAAGTCCTTTATTGCAGTCATTATTTTGTTTTTATTGTTTCTATTCTGTTCTATTTGATTTTTACTATGTCCAAAGTTATCTGCAGCTATTTGGAAGACATCAAGAGGCATTATATTAACTACTGTTGATTTCATAATGTTCTGAAGTACTGTGTCTCTTACACTGGTTTGTTTTGATTGGTTTTGTTTTATTCTCTTTAAAATATTTAATTTTTTAAAAACAAATAAAATTTTACCTAAGCCACCAATAATGGAACCCAATAACTTTTATCCATTACTTTTAATAAAAACGTGTAAAGAACTTACCTAATAATATCTAATAATAATACCTAATAATAGGCTGGGAATTAGGTTCAGAGGCTCAAGGGCCGGCCTGGTAAGCTCAAGGTCATAAATTCAATTCCTGGTACCAAAAAAAACCCACAAAATCCTAATAATAGTAGCACTGGATGGAATGATTTATACAATTCTATGTGTAGTAGTTGTAAATAAAAATTAAAATAGGTCATTCAAAAATTTTAATTTATATGAGAAAGTACTTTAAAATGTAATAGTAGGTAAGACAGATATAAAACCATAATGTACAGTTTATCCTAAAATTTTATGTACAGGTATATATTTTTACTATATATTCATAATCCATATGTACAGATGACACTAGTGGTGATTTTCACTAATCTTCAAACATTTCTACAGTTGCCAATTTTTCTACAGTATAAATCCCTAAGGGATAACATTTCTGATAATCCAAAATCCCTAACAAAAGCAGAATCCTTTGCCATTAAAGAATATTGCAAAATGGCAGCAATGCTTTTCATGCTTATATGCAATGATAATCCTACTTTTGGAGGTAGAGAGAAATGCTGTCCATTCTAGATGCTGTGCCTGATTCCTGAGAAACAGAAGGATGGGCTGGCACCATGTGCCATTGCTGAGTAGGTTGCTCCACATCCCTGCGGACAGTAAGAAAGTCCTAGTCCAGGTATGTCACCCCAGTTAATTCATGAGGCTTCACACAAGGGAGAGGACTCTCCTCCATATCTGATCAATAAGTCTGCCTACTGGATTATAATACACCCTTCATGAGCTGCCTAGAATGAAGAGAAGGTTGCACAGTGAAAGTTAAGTACAGTGTCTATCTCTTATCGATGACCCCCAGTGAACATCTGAACCCACACACAGTACTAAACCTATACATACCTATAATAAAGTTTAGTTTATAAAGCAGGCATAGCAAAAGACTAACAACAACTAATTAGAAAATAGAGGGCCGGGAATTTAGCTCAGCAGCATAAGCACCTGCCTAGCAAGCACATGGTCATAAGTTTGATCTCCCGTACCAAAAAAAAAAAAAAAAGTTGAATGACTAAGGAAAGTAGGACAATTATAACAACATCCTACAATAAAAGTTATGTTAATGTAATTTCTCTCATTCAAAATTGCCTATTGCACGTTCATCCTTATATCTGAACCTTTACAGCCTGTCTTTGGCATATCCAAATTATCAGTAACACTGCTCTTGTGTTTTGAGGTCATCAAAGGTAAAATCTGAGTTATCTGACTACTGTGTTACCATGACAGTTGATCTGATACTCTAAGTGGCTAGTAAGAGACTAAAAGACAGGTAGCATATACAGTGTGAATACAATGGACAAAAAATTCGTGTCCCAGGATGAACAGTGCAAGACTTCATCATACTACTCATAAGTATACAGTTTAAAACTTGAATTGTTTGAACTGAAACTATGAATTGTTTATTTCTGGGATTTTCTATTTAGTATTTTAAGACTGATTGCCCAAGGTTAACTAAAACCAGGGGACAATTATAGTATCATCTGTCATGGTTGGTCCATATGCAAATATCCTTCGCACAGTTTACCCTACCCATTTTGATGAGTGAGAATACTGCAAAAGGAGAAGATTCTCCCCAAGAGTTCTCCATCACCCCACCCCATGGCCCAGAGGTTTGGGGAAGCACTCACACTTCCTGAAGATTTGGCATGTCCTCAAAACCAGCAGGATCAATCTCAGAAAGTTTGTTGTAACTCAGATTCCTGGTAGAGGGAAAGGAAAAACAAAACAACAAAAACGGAATCAATACTTGACAGTGCCCTCAAGATAAAGTTTGCCCCTCCTCCAATACAAGCCCTCTCCCTCATACTTTCCCATCTTATGCATTGTTTTAAGCAACATTATAAATACTGAGATTTACAAATAGTATATGTCTCTTTTCCACTAGTATCCATAAGCAAGACACTCAAACCAAGGCTATTAAATCACCTGAGATCAATAAATGCAAATGGATTTTAATTAATACCTTACTACCTACCAAGTTTTAAAGAAAACTAAAAGGAAATTAGTCTTCTATGCACACTAGAGGAGTGACCTGTCCAAATGCTGTACACCACATCAAGCTCAAGGCTTTTCTTAGTGGCATTTTTAATTGATGTTTTACTAAAGCAATGACATCAAGAAAGAGAAACGAGTGTTGGCCTTCATTGTCTAAAACAATGGTTCTAATTCAGGGGATGACTCTGTCTTCCAGGAGATAGGTGGCATTATCTGGAGGCAATTTTGGTTGAGTGTCTGGTAGGTAAAAGTCAAAGATACTATTAAACATCCTACCATACACATGCATGCAGCTCCCACAACAGAGCAACAACCCGCTCTACATGTCAGTGTCAGCCAGAGACAGAAACCCTGGTCTAAACAAGAACCTAAGATTAAATATTTCTCAGATGCACAAAGTTCAAGAAACTTTTTTTAAAAAATGGACACTATAAGATTCAGAATCATAAGAGTATTTATGAACAATGTGTTCTTACCATCAATAACAAATATTGGGAAGGACAGTCACACAGAGAAGGGAGACAATTGTTAGAAATTTATGTTAACTACAGGCAGAGAAGGCCTGATGTACTCAACCTCAAGATGATAGGACATGATTCATTTGTTCAAAATGACACCTCTCTCACCTTTATGGTGCCCAGCTATGCCATGACCCTAGAGGCTGATAAGGAGCAGGCCTGGCAGGGTTCTATCATCTGAGCCTCTCTGATCACAGCCTCAACGAAGATCATCTTAATCTTTTAAGAAGAAAAGTTGCAGGATGTGATCCAAAGGTGACTCAACTTTTGTACTATAGTCTTGCTCCTTGCCAATCTACCCTAGTCCTGTGTATCCCAGAAAGGTTAGCATTTTTCATCTTGGCTATTAATTCCATTGACATGACTGCCAATTAACAGTACTACTAATCGTGAGTTTAAAGTCTAACTCTTAAAGCATCATGTAAGTGGCAACTATCTCTTAAACTTTCTCTAGAGATTTCAATTAATACTAACCTAGAGCTGATACCCATTTCACAGTGAACTCAAAGACATTCATCTAAATAAAAGTCAAGCTGCACTTGAAACTAATGGCACATCTGTGTTCGCGGCACAGCCTGAATTAAAAGCAATTTGTCTAGAGATTAAGTTACCATAAAAACTGAAGGTGGTAATTTTTTAAACCACATACTGAAGTCAAGTATGAGCTTGCCTGTGCTTGGGGGTATTTATTAACGAGTGTGTAGAAATTAACATGTTAGACCTGGGAAAGAAAATTCACAAGTTGAAAGAATTCCCCAACATCAGAAAAAAAGACTAACCAGACTAAGGTTTTTTTCTATTTTGACTGATTATCATAAAAGGGGGAAAAGGTCAGTATTGTTTCTGAGGCAAAGAAACTGTGAATTATGAGACTGTAACTTGAATCATCATGGGTAATGGGACTGGTTGAGCCAGAGATGACATGAGAGAAATCCTTGAAAGCAAGAGGCTAGCAGGTCAAGCACATCATGTAGCTGGGTAGAAGGATGCTAACCCAGGGACGCCTTGCTGCCCACCTAAAATAGCACTTGCTCCTTGGTTACAGAAACAAGGACAACACAATCTCCTTAGTCTTCCAGAGAGGCTCAATATTTGAATTCTCATGGGAAACCTTTTCGACTCTTTAAAAAAAAAAAAAAAAAAAAAAAAAAGCAAAAAGGTAACACAAGATGAACAGATGAACCAAACAAAATCTGTCTGCCAGCTGCATCTGGTTTGAGGACAGCCAGTTTTTATTCCAATCTGGGCCACTGGCCCTTGAAGCTGTTTATTCAAAGTGATAGAGTGATGGGTTTGTTTCTGGCTGCATACTGGCCAGGGTGGAACTGGACTTCACTGGGTCTTTCGCAATTAACTGATCATCTGTTCTGAACCATCTGAAATGAAATCACTGGCCCCACCCTCTGCCACTGTCTATATTCCTCAGCAACTTAAAATGAAACCTTCTGAAGCCACAATACTTTCTGGTTTGTCTTTCTCTTACAAAGCAGACACATTTATCTATAGTTCAGTAAATGCTGTATAAATTCCGCTTTTTGGATCAGGCTACTTGAAAAAAGGATTTTCCTGGGTAGTAGGATTACTCAGAAGCTGAGTAACATAGGGCTTAATATTGATGCCAGCCACAAAGATGAAGACATTTTAAGTGGAAATGTAGCCTCTTGTCGACATAAAGGCGACTGAATTTCTGAGTTTCAGTGAACTAGAAAAGACACCTATCAACACACACACACTGTTAGGAGACTGACTAGAAAGGACACCTCTTCAGGGAACCTATGAGCAAAACAGAGAGAAGACAGTGTGGGATCACATCCTTGGAATAGTTTCTGTGGAGATGCTCTAGCTTTTAAGTTTGAGAAGTGGTACTGAAACCCAGAACAAGTTATCAAACCTCACATGTTTTATCAGAAAATGAAGAAAATAATTTACTATATTTTCCATAGTACACTAAAAGAACAAAATCCTCACAGTTACTCCCTCATTGGCCTACTTCAAGGAGATAACTCCCAGTATAATTTTTAAAAATATATTGCAGCAAAATGTATACAACATAAAAGCTATTGTTTTAACAATGTTTAAGTATACTATTCAGTGCCATTACTTACACACATTCAGATTATTTTGCCACCATCTACATCAAAAACTTTCTCAGGGCCTGGCATTTAGCTCATCTGCATAAGCACCTGCCTGGTAAGTGCACAGTTGTGAGTTTGATCCCTGGCACCAAAAAAAAAAAAAAAAAAAAAAAAACCTTTCTCAACACCCGAAACTTTCTCAACATTCTGAATTCAAAACTGTACCATCAAACACAAACTCCCAAGTTCTGATGCCCCCAACCTCAGGCAATCACCATTCTACTTCTGTCAATGAATCCAACTTATCTAGGTGCCTCACAAATATGGAATGGTAATATATTTGTCCTGTGTTGGCTTATTTCACTTAACACAATGCCTTCAAGATTCTCCCAGGTTGTTGCATGTGTTATACTTTACATCTTTTGAAAACTAAGTTAACATTTCTTTGTACCTACATGCTATACTTTGTATATTTATTCATCTGTTGACTGATTGTACCTTTAGCCACTATGAATAATACCACGTTTTTCATAAATTAAAAAACAGTAAGGTTTTATTTCCATTGTGTTTACTGACTGCTTATATGTGAACAATTAAAGGAAATAAACTTAGCCCAAGTGCTCAGCAAAAAGGGGTGTAAGTTCTTGTCTCCGATTCTTAGAACATCAAAGGGTTAATCAGTTAGGTCTTTCTTCCAGGTGGCAGCTAACACACACACTCATCTAAAGCATCTCACTTATTTCAAGGAACATGATCACCCCTTCCCAAGCCTGACATCTGAATGGGTCTTCAGTTGAAGGTTTCAGATTCTCCTGTCAAAACAATTCATCTGTCAGCAGGACAGATGCTGTCAAAAGCATTTCTGCACCTTTCAGTAGCAAGGAGCTGGAAAGAAAAGAAACCTTTGGTAATCTAGTTCCTGCCAATTTCAGCTTTCATTAAACATTTTGTCAGCTATTGTCATAACACCAATTTTCCCTATTCTTGCACAAAGGGCACACAGATCCTCAAACAATCGAGCCAGCCATAGATATTCTTTCAGCTAATCTGCTGAAAGATGACCATGCTGCCCATAATTTGCAGAACACTCAACAGCCACTTCTACAGAGAACAGTTCAAGTTTTATCCAGACACATCTGAAAAGCAAACTACCCAACAAGGCCTAACAATGATTTGTTCACTTAAGCATCTCTCTGGAGAAGACCTCTGCCCCAAAGCCCACAAAATCTGAAGACCTTAAGTCGTTCAATAGATGAGAATTCCACACTATTATGTAAACCTAGCCATTAGCCACGTAGCTATTTGTATTCAAGCTCATTCATATTATATAAAATTATAAGTCCAGTTTCTCGGCCACACTATTTCCTGTGTTCAACAGACACATGTGGCTTGTGGCTATCGACTACATGGTATGGTTCACAAAGAGCAACTGTATCACTGTGCTGGATTCTAAATCATGAGGTAATTAACAAATACTTCTAATTCATGAGAACATCAATAAATACTTCAAGCCAAATGGTACCTTTAGGAGAGATTTGTATTTTAAAACTGAATCTCAGAGACCTTGAGTATAGCTAATGATAAAGAATCTACCTAGCATGCATGAAGCCCTAGGTTTGGTTCCTCACAGAGAATATAATAACAAAGGTAATAATAATAATAATAAATATCAAGTTTTGTAATAACTTCAAAGCTTTGTTGGAAAAATGTGGTGAGGGGTATACGCTGATATTAACCCAAGTCCTTTAAGTACACACAGTTCTTAACTATCCCTTTAGGAGTAAGACCTTTGAAAGCTCCAGTCCCTAGGAAGACATCCCTAATAAAAACTGCCCTCACAGTGTAACTCCATTGGCTTAATTGGTATTTACACAATCTGACCAACACCTTCCTGGCTTACAGCCTGAACCACATATTACAAACTTGGCAAATGTTCTTCAAAGCTGGTAAACAATAATTCATTGACTTCTTGGAAGTTGAGGGACAAAAAGTCCCATTTACTTTTGACTAAGCTGTGGTGAGGAAACAACCCCACTTCATTAGATACCATAATCACTAGCAATTCATCCCCAAAAGCAAGCACTGCTCATAGACTACAGCCTTTGCAGGCAA